GAGAAAGGTGAGCAGTGTCAGTCTCCGCGCCCCTGCCTGTTTGGCCGGCGCCCTGACAGGCACCTGGCGAACCCGCAAGCTGTGCCGACGGGCTGGTCTATGGAGGTCGACTCTTCAGGCCGACAGCTCCCTTCGGGCGTGAGGTGTCTGGACTCGTATCTGCTGATTGATCTAGTTTGCATTGGATGCAATTCCTCAGAATCCCATGTTCAAGATGATTTTGCGAGCCAGCAGATTGGTTGTTTGCCTGTTCGCCATGTTGCACGTTTGCTTACGGCCCAGGGACCACCTTCCTTGTTTATTTAAGCGTAGTCTGCATGAATTCTAAAAATAGCTCCTAAACCCGAACGAAAGATCCTCAAGTCCAGCTCAAAACCGCACATCCCACCCAACAGGTCGACTCCAGGCGCACCTCCGCGTCCTTGAACTCGAACTGGGCCCAGTCGTCGCTCACCTGAGCCTCGCAACCGTTTCGCGCGGACTCCGATCAACGTGTGCTCCGCGCAACAGGTGGGGCCTTGTTCAACGCTCTAACAAACGACTGCTGGTCGGGTGTGGTCGGATCCCCAAGGTTGCCTAACACACAAGTGGGTTGTCAACATGGGACAAACAACTGGCGTTCTTTTTCCAAATCCCTTTCTACCAAGCTGAAAGGGAACTCCTAAACAACACACCCAAAAGGGGGCTTGTCAACATTAGGGTGCCCTTAGTTGTCAACCCGGGTGGCTTACCGGGCAGCAAGCCCTACAAAATGAACCTTGGTTATAGTTATGATCAACACCCTGCAAAGGAGCCAACCCAAAAGCATGTAAAGAGTCAACAAGGCTTCTTGCCGCACCCATTTCTGGTTGGGAATTTCCTACTAACCGAAGCTGACCCGGGTTTGATTGTGGCCTTGTGTGTTCCGTTTCCTCCGTGTGCCAAGGCACTTGCATCACCGGGTGGGCCACTGGAAAACGATTTGAGAAACAACCCTGCCACCGGCTCATACTCAGCCCAGTCCCAAGCTCTGAGCCCATCCTACTTAGCCCTGCCCTTGCTGCTCGAGCTCAAACGCACGTCCCCAGCCCCAGCATCACTTGACCCAATTGCAGGTTTGGCGGAAAGTCCGGTTTCCGAAGGACCTGAAGGCCCATCGCATCAAGGAGCAGCCGTGTTACAGTTCAAGGCCAGCGTTATGGGTCTGACTCAGGAATCAGGAGCTCTCTCCACCAGCGCCAGTGCTGACAGAGCAAAACGAGGACGGAACACAGAAACATTCCGCATATGCAGGGGTTGGCTTGATAGACTGAAGCTCTTGTGAACCCAACGAAGGGTTGCTAGGTCAGCAGCAACTTGCAGTCAGGTCAGTCATCTTCAATTGGTGGATGGAAGGGAATTCTCCAAGAGACTAACTCAGAAAAGTCAAACTCGTAATCTCCATAGCATCTCAAACGGTCAAACAGAACAGGGGCCCCTGTTGCGCCTCTCTGGATCTTCGAAAGCCCAGACCCGAAAGGAAGAATTTGGGCCCCGGTCTCAACCCATGTGGCCATAGGTCAAATTCCCGTACCCCCAGTGAACAACTAAAATGGGTGGTGCACCTACCCCAAAATGGTTTTTGTTGTCTTGACCCACAGCCATGTAGTTGTTTGGGTCCGAAAATCCGCGCCCGCCTCCGCGCAGGGATCAAAGCGCTCCGTGTGCTTCCGCCGGGTCTCCCAGCCTTGAGGACAAGCATGCAAACAGCCAGCTATTTTGATCGCAAAAAGCAGGGGAGGCGTTGTTTTTCTTGCGGCTTCCATTTGCAGTGAGCAACCCACCAAAACACAACAAGCCGTTTCTGCAAATCACTCTCCTGAAACTAAGCACGGAGCTCGCCTTTCCGAGAAGGCCAGACATCAATGTCAAGACCCATTGCTGGCAGCTCCGCCAAGCAAGTGCCAAAGCGCACCGCCCGACCGGAAGGCAGAAAAGGTCGCCTCCCGGATCGCCTTTTGCTAAGCCCATAGTAAGAGGGAGAATGGCAGGGGGGCATCACCAGCCGCGGGCACTTGGCACTCACTCGAGAGCCTCTGAGCTCCCAGCTGCAGTCGTCTAAGCCTTCCGCGCATTCCTGGGGAGACGTGTGCCAATCTCCAAAAATATCCAGGACATTCGTTTTCCAATCGATGTTGGGCCTGTCCACGCAAATCGGTTTGGAGACTGTTCCCCCAAAAGGTGCACCAGCCCGAGATAAAGAAGCCAAAAAACAGAAACTCAAGAAGCACATCGGCCACAGAAGAGCAATTTGGCGGCTTCAACGAGTGCTCCAAGAACGTGAGTTGCTGCTTTCCTGGGCTGTTCACCATGCAACACCAACGCAATGGGCCCAAATCCATTCGTATTCCAAGTTGAAAGGATTCTAGTAGCCCGAAGGAAGAGGTTGCCGATAGGGAACACACCTAGCGCTCCCAGAAGACCTGCAAGAGGGTCTTAAAAAGGTTTCTGGAGAAGATCGTAGATCTTGGGACATCCACACACCCCAACCGCTGTTTGCCAAGGCCCCTTGCCCACCAGTGCGGCGGATCGTCCCCAGTATCGCCTCGGCTCCGGTGGCCCGGGGTTTGGGGAACCAACTCTGCGGCCAACACCTTGCAAAATCGGCGCAAGACGGAGAGAAGGGCGCCGCGGGCTGCAAAACTGGACATGCAAAAGACGAGAGTGCCGGGCTTCTGTCGTGCGGGGAAAAGGGGGGGAGGGGAGGGGGAGGGGTTTGGTGCAACTGGCTTCTTTTGAGAGTCTCTGACGTGGCACCGGCGACAAGCCATGAGCTGTTGGAAGCGAAGCTCGGTCTGTTGGTGGTCCGGCAAAGGTGTTGTTTTTGTTCTTCTTCTTTTTTCTAAACATATATATATATATACACATAACTCAAACGTACCGTAGATACCAGCAAATGCTTTTGTTGTTGATTTTTTTTGTGGTGTGTGTGTGTGGGTATACTCTATATATGTACATATCCTGAAAAACCGCAGGCCGTGGAAAACCCCCTGTTGTAGTTTGCCTCTAAAATGTATCTTTTTGGAAACAGAACTCACGCGTGCTTCGCGGCGAGGGCATTGTTCGGACGGCTCTGACGCTTGCGCGCGAGCTTCGGTCCAAGGACCTCTAGATCTCACAGACATGGACGATCCACATCCATGGTTGCAGCTCCAAGAACACTCACATCCAGTTCCACATGAGTGACCCAAGTCAGGCAAATGTAGTCTTCACTCGGAAAGCTTTGCATTGTCCACGTTCTTCAGCTTCTGGATACAACGATGTCAAAAGGCGGCTTGGGCAAACTGATGCCTAGAAAATGCATGCGTCGAAGTTGTCGCCACACCGAAGCTTACGCTAAGAATAGCACCTCTTCTGCAAGCGAAATGCCCTTGGAAGGTGCGGAGTTCCTTGCAGCTGAGACCAAACACCCCCAAACCATCCCAAACCAGCCTTTCAAAAGGTTCCCCAACTTGCCAGAACCTCCAACCCAAAACCAAAAACCTCCCCGCCTTCCCTCCCCCCCCCAAAAAAAAAAAAACATTTATGTGACCAAACCCAGCTCCATTCTCAGCCCATTCTCAGCCCCTGGCGGCAGGTCAGCAGATCCAGCAGCGCCGCCTGAGATATCTCGCCCCTAGTGCCTAGGTCGATCTCCCAGCTTGAGACAATCCCACTGCGGGGTTGATTCCTTTCCCATTCTTTTCAACCATCGTTCTTTTCAAAAAACCGGCTGTTTCCCCAGCGTTTTTGATGGTTTCCTGAAAAGAAGGATCCCTAGAAAGAATGGAAAAGGTACCCAGTTGGGTGGATGGAACCAAAGACGAAAGCTTGCTCAACCCTGCCTCTTTAATTTAGAACCACATGTGCCTAGGGAACTGAGTCAGAAAACACGAGTCGGACTTCGATCTCCCAGTTTGAGACAATCCCGGCAATGCAAGTCACGAAACCCTGCAACAAAGCAATACCCGCATTGCTTTCTGTCGAGCGATCAGCACATACAACTTGTGCGTCTCCTACCCCCCATTTCCCCCCCCCCCCCCCACCTATTTTATTGCGCGGGGAAGCAACAGGAAGATGAAGTCAGAAAGACGACCCCAGCATCGAGGCTCGGGAAGCCTAACGCAGCCCAACAATGCCCTAAATACTCGGAGGACCATCAGCCACGTCAGGATACTCGGAGGACCATCAGCCACGTCAGGAGATCCGGCTTCCCCTCTTTGCCGTGGTCACCTGGTCTTCCACATGAGACTTTACAAAGTCTGGTGGGATCCTCTTTGGAGACGCTGCAACGCTGGAGGGCCACCAGGCATGCGAATGTCTGCGTGGTGTAAAGGGAGACCGAAGACGACCCATTTGGGCGGTCCCCCCCCTGTTTTGCCATGTCAGCTTCTCTTCCTTGGATGAGCGCAAGCGAACTAACATGGGAGACCCTGCCAAAGCTGCTGCAAAATGGTTGATTTGCTTTTGCCGTCCCTTTAAAACAACCCCAAAAGAGGGTACCCTCAAGAACGACACCCCCAAACCCCAGTCTGTAAAAAGAAACACACAGGATGGTCCACAAAATTCAAGTCCCAACTTGCAAGAAATCAAACAGTTCTGCAGATCCGAGCCATTGGGCATGAAACGACTAGCAAGTCCGGGTCGCGGGACATATAGCCTAATGTCCTTGCATGGATCATAGACTACGTACTATGAGCACTTCCTTCTCCCCGCGACAAACCGCCCGAGCTTTTGTCACGTGTAGCTTGCTAATCGATCCCGCCGCTCCTGCCAAAACAGGAAGCAGGCGGTCAATTTCAGGCTCAACCCGCGCTGTGAAAGCCGCAGAGGTCGCGCTCATTCTACATTGGTGAATATTCTGCGGTGGACTATGCCCGGATCAGATGATCAAACAAAAGGTCCTGAAGATAGAGAAAGAGTTCAAACTTCATGCTAATGAAGGACAAACAATTAATTATCTGGTTTGAGGAATAAGGATCTGAAGGATCTGGGCGTGCCAT